TCTGCCTTTCATCCAGGACAGACACAGCCTGGGCTTCCGGGTCACCACCTGCCTCCTGCTTTCACAGGGAAGTGGCCTATGGGCTGTCCCGGGCCCTGGGGAGAAAGGACCCCAGGTCCCTGAGACCAGGGCTGCTTCACAGCAGTCAGGCTTCAGGGGGACTCAGGAGGACCAAGGCTGGAGTGGCCTCTGCTCTTGAGGGAAGAAGAGGGGTCTGCAGGGGCACCGATGGCCCAAAGGGAGGAGGACCCTGGCCGGGTGGATGCTAACCTCGGGGACAGCTGTGCCTTTGAAGACAGCACGGTCCCTCCACGTCTGTAGTGCCTTCCGTCACTCCTTCCTCAATCATGACTATATCACATGACTATGTGCAGGGCTCCGTCCTGGGCCCAGAGGGACAGAAATGAAGCAGCCCCATCCCCGCCCACAGGAGCTCACGGCCTGGTGGCTGGTCTGGTGTGGAAGCCTGTGGGGCATTGAGGGTAAATGTCCCCTTCAGGGGGTGTGGCAGGTGTCCTGATAGAGCAGGACAGTAGCCAAGGACAGAGACTGGCCCGGGGAGGGAGCCAGAGAGCTGGGTGAGGAAGAGGACAAAGCAGAGCTGAGAAAGGACACGCCAACCAGCAGAGAAGCAGCAGGTCGGGTTTCTGCAAAGAGGGGACATGAGGAGAGAGGCCCGGGGAGGGGGGTGGACTGGCACCCCTGAGGGCTGGGAGGCCGGGGCTGCGGGGACGGGAGGGGAGGGGGGAGGAGGAAGGGGTGGGGGTGCTCTCTTGTCTTCATATGACGTCAGGGCTGCTGCTGAGACTCCCAGGGGGGCATCTACCAGGGACCAGCAGCCTTAGTCTGCCTGCCTGCCCCTCGGCCCTGCAGGGAGGGGCCGACTCGCCTGTGATAACTGAGAAGCCTGAGGCTCAGGGAGGTGGAGCCTGTTGGTTACAAACCCTCAGGCAAGGGACACCCAGACTCACACCCCAAAGCCCATGTTCTGTCCCCCTGCTGCCACTGAGCAGGGTCCCCTCCTGTCTGCAAAGCCGAGCCAGAGCCCCACAGGCCCCTTCCAACCTATGACTATGTCACCCTGCCCCGCAGTGATTGCCCTCTCTGCATATCAAGTACGCAAGAAAAAGTTGGATGGAGGTGACAAGAGTCATCATGGAGGGAGCTGTGACCCCCAAGCTGGGGTGGGAGGAGAAGGAGCCAGTTCATGCCAGAGACACAAAGGTGTCTCTTCAGTGGAGATAAACTTTATGGGCACTGGACTTTGACCACTTCAATTGTGATCACTTCCATTCTAGACCATCAAGGCTCCACCACCAACCCAGGAAAGAGCAAAGGTAAGCGGTGTGTTTGGTCCTGATGTTGTCAGCCTGCCTGATGCACACACTGACCCGCACAGGGAGGCCTCCTGCCGCTCATGGGGATACGTCCCCCCCACCCCTCCAGCTCCCACCTACCTGGGCAGGGAGAGCTGGCAGCAGGAGGAAGATGGTGACAGGCACAGAGGGACCCCAGGGAGGACAAGGGACTCACCAGTATCACCCAGACAACACTCCCCATGTTCCCAGCACGGCCTCATTCAGAGCCTTTGTCACTGAATCAGCAACACAGTATGGCCTGTTTCAGGAACAGCTATGATCCCTCCGGAAATAAATGGGCTTTTTTTCAATTCCCAAGGGGTGTGTGTAGGATGGTCCTTCCCCAGGACTCAGGTGAGCTTTTGGAAAAGGACCCTCAGGTTTCAGGGATCTGGTCCCCCTTCTCCAGGCTCTGAGTCCGCTGGGCTCTGTTCCCTTGGTCTTCATCTCTGTCTGTTGTCAGCATGAGGGCCTTGGCTGGGGGTGACCTTTAAGGACATGGCACTGAGGAGAGGGGACGGAGGAGGGCATTGAGCTGTGAAGGGGGTGCAGCTCAGGTGAGGGACCAAGGGACAGGGGAGCAGCTATGGCTCACCAGGGTGGGTGCCCAAACCAGGACCCATAAGAGGCAGTTAGAGCAGAGGCATGGTGTCCCAAGAAAGGGGACCTGGGCCTGAGGTCTGGTGGGAACCGGGTCACTGCCCAGGCTGGTATCTGCGCTGGTTTCAGTGTGGCCTGGGGACGCTGGATCTGTCAGAGTCAGGTGAGTACCCCCCGTCCCTGCTTATGACCTGCCCCCCACAGCCTCCATCATGTGACACAGCCCCAGGCCCAGCTTCTCCAACAAGGGCGGCTCCGGGCACCAAGGGGACAGGACAGAGTTTGCTGGCCTTTGTAGAAGGCCCATCTCTTTGAAGCAGAAGCATGTGTCTCACACGGAGGACTGTCTTACTGTGCCCGCCACTGCTCATCTGTCCTTGATTCTCCAGCAAACATTCCGTGAGTGACCAGAACTTGATAGGTGCTGGGGCAACAGATGTCATGTGTCTGCAGCCAGGAGCTGCCAGACGAGGAAGCAGACAGGGTTTTCTCTTCCTAGGAGCCTGAGGACACAGGTCCCATACAGACATGCCCCACGGTGATTGTCCCCTGTGGGTGCCAAGGAGGCCGGATGGAACAGATGGAGGTGAGAAGGGCCCTGGGGAACAGGAGGGGAGGGGAGCCACTTCGTGCACAGGCCTAGGCCCATAAGGCATGGCCCGAGTAGGAATGAGCTATGGGCCGTGGACTGCAGTCACTGGGACCAGAGAAAAGCCAAAGGCCTCCTGACCCTCGTGGCCCAAG